TCAATTGATCCTGTCACCTTACCTGCCCAAATAGTTAGGACTACAGGCATGCACCACCACACCCAGCTAATTTGAAATTTTTTTTGGTAGAGGTAGGGTCTTACTATGTTGCCCAGGCTGGTCTCAAACTCCTGGATTCAAGTGATCCTCCCTTCTTAACCTCCCGAAGTGTGGGATTATAGGTGTGAGCCACCACATCCTACCCCATATAAGTCTTAAACCAGCTTCACTAAACACTTTTGAGTAAGAATAGATTCTTTTTTTCAGGGAGAGAAACATCTGTAAGTAAAATTAATATATGCCTGTATGGTTGTTTTATATTTATAAATTAAAACATACTTTTTAATCTCAACTTAAAATATGGTTTCATCAGATCAAAGATTATATAAAATTGTATTATTTATAAAATGAAGATTAGATATGTGAAAGATTATATTAAAAAGAATCAATGTTAGACTTTGAGTTTCGTATTTGGCATATACAGAATGTTGAAAAACGTAAGTCAGTTGAAATCAGTGAGATGACAGCATTATTTTCTAACATTATGTTTGAACAGAATACATTTCTTTGCCTTTCAGATCAACAACTGGCCATACATCCAACAAGTAAATTAGGAACTTAAATTCCTACAAAGAAGTAATATTCACTAGCAGTATGACTGAATTTTGGAAGATAGTGTGCAGTGCAAGCTTTTATCCTGGAAAGACAAGCTCCAAAGGAACTTCACAGAGTGGAATTTTTGGTGAATTACCATTGATCAGTCAACCTCAAAGATGTAGAAAAAAGATCCGTAGATCAAGCAGACCCTTAGAGACAGAGTAGGAATAATAAAATTGGCCCCAAACTGAGGTGTAAACTAAAATGCTTGTTTGCTTACCAAAGGGACTATGTCTTTGTAGTGATTGAAGTGCTGGGTCCCTTTCTGAGAATTGTGGAGTCCAGAAAAACAGATTAACAGTTAAATGGTTGTTTGTGAACATAAAAATAGAGCCAGGGAAAGTGTATCATTTTGAGGATTGCCTTAGCCATGGTCCTAATGAGACCTCATGAATGAACTGTCTTCCTCAAGAGAAATCACTCAGAATGTTTTTTTGCCTCAGTCTTTTGGTTATACTTCCTGAAGTATACTAACTATAGTAAGGAGAGAGGTGTAATGCTTCTTCATAAATGAGGAGAAGAGTGTTTGAGCAGAGGGAATGTGGAAAAGGAGAATGGTAATGGAATATTTGCCACAGGAACCCTTTCAGGTAGGTCAGTTTAGTAAAGAATGCAAGAAGTTGAAGAGCTGGAGATTGAGTCACTTAAAATGATCTATACCTGTATATCCCTTTAAAGGTGTTTATGTACCCTAGAGCCCACGAATATACATTCCTTAGTTTGAGGAATTATGGCATTTGTTTTTATCTTTGTAGATATTGGCTTACTTTCTTGGGATTTTCATTCATACAATAAATACTTATTCATCGTCTATTTACTAGAATACTGTGTTTTATATCTGATTTCCAGGTGCTTGATAAATATATGAATTGAATTGAATATTTGTTGAACATGCCTATTAAATAGATTTCCAAGCTAGTTCCTTTCATAATTTTTGTAGTTAAATGGACTTTATATGTCTTGCCATGAGACCTATTTGAAATATTCTTTTGATAAGAAAATGCTATCTGAGTAGAAAGTGGTACAGATAACATATTTAGGAATGAGCAAGGATCTTCCTGTGTTTGGGTGAAAAAGATAGCTGTACTTGAACACTATCCCTCTTTCCCATAAAGTGTGCTCTTATGTCAAAACCAGTGATTTTTCCTTCAGGAATATAAGTGTATTTTCTGTCAACTTCAGAAAAAAATTGTAGTAACCTAAAGAAGAGACTTTCTTTTTGTGCTAGAGATAACATGGGACATACTTTAGGGTAGTATATCATAAACATAACTTACGGTCATCTACAGATAATGAATATGATAATGTTAGATGCACATTCAACAAAGAGAGGGAACAAGATAACTATGTAAAAAATAAGGAAGGAAAATAAAGATGTGCAGAGACATTTATTAAAGGCTCTACTGTATTTCATAATGGTTGGATTCATTAGCACATTATTTTATTTCAGATAAGCATGGATATAGTGGGCAAGATTGACTTTGGAAGGCTGTACTGAGCTCTTAGAGAACTGTCGAGGGAGAAAGTTTGATTTACACATGTACATAATTTTGTTAGGGGGCAAGAAAGGAAATACGGAATGATGTTTCTCCAGATGTTTCTTCATTTTGGCCACTAGATGGTGACGTTGTATAAAGACAGCTTGGTTGTAGAAGGTGAAATACTCAAAATTTGGTGTGGGATTGGGTATATTTATTTATATTATATACCCAATTATATTATTGGGTATATCTATATTTAACAATTAAGCCCAAGAATATCACTTAATTTTTTTATATTCATCATTCAGCCTTGTAGCACATTTTTGGTGAATTTATTGAACTTCTCTTTTTGGTATTTAATTTATATGTATACACTGTCCTGAAGTATTTTGTTAATATCTCTGTGCCTAGCATATTTAGTGATGATAAACTATATATGATAAACAAATACTTAAACAAATGCCACCTGCCCTCCAAAAAATCACATAGCAAAAAAAACTTATTGATGTATATGATGTGACTAAGAAACATATTTAAGATACATTAAACAAAATAGAAATTTATTTGTGTTTGTACTGTGTTTACTTCTTTACTGCTGATAGCATAGGTATACATGCACATTTGGAAGTTGGACTCAGGAAGAGGGGCCACTCCAAAGGTCCTCTCATCTGTGAATAACCCTTTCATATTACTGAGTATGGGTAACCCATATGCCAAGGATCCTTCTGCTTTCCTTTCTGTGCCCTACCACCAACTTCCCATTATTTTCCAATTCAAAAACAATTGGCGAGTAGCACTGTAGTATTGCTATGATTTTAAAAGACACAGTCCTTTCTGTAACAGTTGAGGTTGGTGCCTCTTGAATTAGTGGGTTTTCTGTTACTGGATTGAAAGAAAGTAGGTCCCTATTATCCTTAAGTTGGAACTCTGAAGGTATTCTTTCATAGACATGGTGTTTGTTTTTTTGTTTGTTTGAGACAGAGTCTCACTCTGTCGCCGAGACTGGAGTGCTGTGGCATGATCTTGGCTCACTGCAACCTGCACGTCCTGGGTTCAAGTGATTCTCCTTCCTCAACCTCCTGAGTAGCTGGGATTACAGGCATGTGCCACCGTGCCCAGCTAATGTGTGTATTTTTATTAGAAACGGGGTTTCACCATGTTGGTCAGGCTAGTTTCGAACTCCTGACCTCATGATCCACCCACCTCGGCCTCCCAAAGTGCAGACATGGGTTTTCTTTGTTGTTTGTTTGTTTGTTTTGTTTGTTTTTTTGATTTTTTGAGACGGTGTCTGGCTCTGTTGCCCAGGCTGGAGTGCAGTGACGGGATGTCAGCTCACTGCAAGCTCCGCCTCCCAGGTTCACGCCATTCTCCTGCCTCAGCCTCCTGAGACATGGTGTTTTTAATGGTGGTTAAATATGACTAAAGTGGTATTATTTGCAGCTCTACTTTTTAAAATCAGAATTTTCTTTTCTGGGGTTTGGCCTCACTTCTTATTTTCTTTACAGAATAAGATCGAAAAAGCATTTTCTCTTCTGTTTAACAGGGCCTCTTCAAGTGACCATATAGACCTATTAAACATGATTTCTTTCTTAAAACCTACTTCATTTTCTCTAGCTTGAAGCAAGTTGTTTCTCCTCTCTTTTCTTGTAGTCCTTGTTAAGGATTCAGCTTTTATGTTAATCCTGTGTAGATTTTTGTCATCCCAACTATACTGTTTGTGTCTTAAAGGCAAACTTTCTTGCTTAGCCTCGTATCTGTTATCAACAAATTCTTGTCCAGTGCCTTACATGTAGTAGGTGCTCAATAAAATACTTCAGATGCTTAAAGAATGCTTAGATGGCTGATGCCAAAGTAGTGTCTTTTAAGAAAATTAGCTATGACTGTATATGGCACAAGATGTTTAGATTGGCTTTTAAGATATAAGAACTCCGATGACCAGGTGTTTTGCTTTCTGATGAATGGATGCTATGGCATTGCAAGTTATAAAACACATTAGTTTGACTTTTGGAACGGAAAATGCATTCCTTTATACTTGTTCATAACATTCAGTCCACATATGGGGCAATTTGATTGTTAATACTGTAAATTACTGATCTTTATGGGAGTCACTGATTCTTTTGAGAATCTGAAACAGTTCTTCCCCCTGTACATACAACAGCCAGAAAAATGCACCTGCATTATAAAGATAATTCTGTACATTATTTAGAGAGCTCATAGATTTCATGTTAAGAACTTCTGCTTCAGGTTTTGGAATAGACTGCAGCTGATTAGTCAAAAGGCAGCATAATATAATAGAAAAATGTACTATATACAAAATCAGTTGATCTAAGTGAATTCTAGCTCTTATTCTACCTTTGATAAATGTAGTACCATTTGGCAGGTCATTTAATGTCTCCTTTTTGCCTGTTTCTTCATTTGTAAAGTGAAGTTGTTGGATGAAAGATTAAGTGAATTAGCACATACAATATACTTAGAAGAGTGCTGGGTATGTAGTATGCTTCCCAGCTTTTCTTTCTAGTCTTTGATTCTACTATCTTATAAAGGATTTCTGAATTTTTTAATGCCCTCCTCTTTTTGTCTAATTGATTTTCTTTGCTTTAAGAAAATAACTTTCATGTATATTTTAAAAACTTGAGTAACAATTTATTCTCTTATCCTGTAAGGCAAGTGGGAAACTAAGAACTTTAGTCTTTTCAGGAGTTGGATGTATTACAGCTACTGAAAAACTATTACTGTTCATGTAAATTTTTTTTTAAACAGAGTCCATTAACATCTATGTCAGCAGCAAACAGATTGTGTTGAAAATATGTAACTTTTTTGTATTACCCAGTAAGAAAAAGACCTTTCTTTTTTTTATTCTAGGGAAGAAGACAAAAATATATTTGATTACTGCAGGGAAAACAACATTGACCATATAACCAAAGCCATCAAATCGAAAAATGTGGATGTGAATGTGAAAGATGAAGAGGTATGAAAAACATGCCCTGTTAATTATTTTCCTATGGTTGTTCTGCCCCAGTGCTTTTTCCTAAATGGTAGGCCAATGAACTACAACTCAAAGTACAGCATGGCTAAGAGTATATCAGAATATCTAAATGAGATGCTGTTACCTAGTTAAGATACGTTCTGTGATTGTGTCAAACATATTTTTATCTATGTTTTAGAAGTTGCTACCTGAAATTTGTAGGAGTCTGATAGCTTCCATATGTTTATGCTAAAGGGAGAGATTATTAGCAAAATAAGTGAAATCTACAGGTAATAGCAATATCTCATTTATAAATAGCTTTCTTCTGTTATTATACCTTGAACAGCTAGGTATATTGTTCTTTGCTCAATAAATGTATCTCTAGAAAACTGTGTCCGAATTTTGGTAAATCAATAATTTAAATGCTGGCCTACTAATTAAAGGAATCGTATAGTAAATTATTTTATAAAATATATTACTTCTTTTTTTAGAGAGAGAGAGACAGGGTCTCACTCTGTTGCCCAGGCTGGAGTGCATTGGTGCACTAATAGCTCACCGCATCCTCAAACTCACGGACTTATGCAGTCCTCTTGCCTTAGCCTCCCAAGTAGCCGGGACTACAGGCATGTGTCGTCACTCCTGGCTAATTTTTTTATTTTTTGTGGAGATGGGGTATTGCTGTGTCGTCCGGGTTGGTGTTGTCCTCCTGATCTCAAATGATCCTCCTGCCTCAGCTTCCCAAAGTGTTAGGATTATAGGCATGAGCCACTGTGCCTTGCCTATTACTTCTTAATTTATTTGTGTTGTGAATAATACCATTCACAAACTGAGTTTTAACTGACCCTGCATTATAGTTGTTAACAAAGGAGCAACATTTACTAATTTACTTCTAATCATTTTCTCATTCTTTGGTGATGCTGTGAAAGATTACTGAAATGGCCAAAGGTAGTAATTGTTAGGAAGAAAGCATTGAGTGATCATAGATAATCTGTAGAATAGATAATAATTAACTTATGTGTAATTCAGAGCTGCCTATATAAAAGGTTAGCCCTTAATATTGTCTCACCTTTCGGCAACATCTTTCCTGTGATAATATTGTCAGTGGCATCTGGAATTGAAAATGTTAAGACTATGATGCTGCACAAAGGGACTAGTAATCCTATGTGGTTTTCATTAAGTAAACAAAATAATACCAGGTCTTCTGATTCTAACTGGGTTTGTGGTTTTTGTCTGTTTGTTTGTTTTTTGCCTTTCAGAATCAAAATACAGGCATACCTCTGAAATATTGCAGATTCAGTTCCAGACTACTGCAGTAAAGTGACTATTGCAATAAAGCAAGTCACATGAAATTTTTGGTTTCCCAGTGCATATAAAAGTTGTGTTTACTGGGTGGACACGGTGACTGATGCCTGTAATCCCAGCACTTTGGGAGGCTGAGGCGGGTGGACCACAAGGTCAGGAGCTTGAGACCAGCCTGGCCAACATAGTGAACCCCATCTCTACTAAAAATACAAAAAAAAATTAGCCAGGCATGGTGGCGGGTGCCTGTAATCCCAGCTACTTGGGAGGCTGCAGTAGGAGAAATGCTTGAACCTGGGAGGCAGAGGTTGCAGTGAGCCGAGATCGCACCATTGCACTCCAGGCTGGGTAACAGAGCAAGACTCCATCTTAAAAAACAAACAAACAAAAAAGTTGTGTTTACACTCTACAGTCATCTATTAAGTGTAGAGTAGCATTATATCTTTAAAAAAGTACATACTTTAATTTAAAATACTTTATTACTAAAAAAATTCTGACAATCATCTGGCTTGCCTTCAGCAAGTCATAATCTTCGTGGGGCAAAAGGTCTTGCCTCAGTGTTGATGGCTGCTGACTGATCACAGTGGTAGGCACTGAAAGTTGGGGTGGCTGTGGCAATGTCTTAACATAAGTCAGCAGTGAAGATAGCTACATTGATTGAGTCTTCCTTCGTAAAAGATTTCTCTGTACATGCAATGCTGTTTGATAGCATTTTACCCACAGTGAAACTTCTTTCAAAATTGTAGCCAATCCTTTCAAACCCTGCCACTGCTTTATCAACTGAGTTTATGTTGTATTTTAAAATTTTTGTTGTTATTTCAACAATGTTCACAACATCTTCACCAGAGTAGATTGTGTCTTAAGAAACCACTTTCTTTGCTTATCCATAAGAAGCAACTCCTCATCCATTCAAGTTTTATCATGAAATTGTAGCAATTCCATCACATCTTCAGGTTCCACTTCTAATTTTAGTTCTCTTGCAGTTACATCTGCAAGTAACTTGTCCACTGAAGTCTTGAATCCTTATCAGTGTCATCCATGAAGGTTAGAATCAACTTCTTCCAGGCTCTTGTTAATGTTGACATTTTGACCTCCTCCCATCACGCATGTTCTTAATGGATCTGGAATGGTGAATCCTTTCAGATCCATTCAGGCTTTGTTTTCCCATTTCAAAAGCACAGGCAGAATAGATTGAGAGTAATTTTTAAGGGCCCTAGGATTTTCAGAATGGTAAATGAGCATTGGTTTCAACTTAAAGGCAACAGCCGCATTATCCCCTAACAAGAGTATTAGTCTGTCTTTTGAAGCTTTGAGGCCAGGTATTGACTTCTCTCCAGCCGTGAAGGTCCTGGATGGTATCTTCTTTCAATAGTAGGAGTAGTCTGTTTTCTCTACATTGAAGATGGTTGTTGAGTGTAGTCACCTTTATCAGTTACTTTAGCTAGGTCTTCTGGATAACTTGCTGCAGCTTCTACATCAGCACTTGGTGCTTCACCTTGTACTTTTATGTTATGGAGATGGCCTCTTTCCTTTAACCTCATGAACTAGCCTCTGCTAGCTTCAGACTTTTCTTCTGCAGCCCCCTTACCTTTCTCAACCTTCACAGACTTGAAGAGAACTAGAACCTTGCCCTGGATCAGGCTTTGGCTTAAGGGAATGTTGTGGCTGGTTGATCTTCTATCCAGACCGCTCACTTTTTCCATATCAGCAATAAGGCTTTTTAACTTTTGTATCATTTGTATGCTCACTGGAATAGCACTTTTAATTTCCTCAAGAATTTTTCTCTGGCATTCACAAATTGGCAGTTTGGCGCAAGGAGCCTAGCTTTTGACCTATGTTGATTTTCAGTATGCCTTCCTCACTAAGCTTAATCATTTCTGGCATTTGATTGAAGGTGAAAGATGGTGCAACCCTTTTCCTTTCACTTGACACTAGGTTTTACTTGAAACTTAGCGACTATTGTATTATTGGCTAATAATTTCAATATTTTTGTGTCTCAGTCAGTAGGGAATCCTGAAGAGCGGGGGAGAGACCAGGAACAGCCAGTCAGTGGAGCAGTCAGAACACACAAAGTATCTATTAGTTAAATTTGCCATCTTTCTCAGTGTGGTTTGTAGCACTCCACAACAATTACAATAGTGACATCAAAGATCACCGATCATTACCCTAACAGATATAATAGTAATGAAAAACTTTGAAATATTGCAAGAATTATCTCAGTGTGACACAGAGACATGAAGTGAGCACATCTTGTTGGAAAAATGGCAATAATAGTTGGCTTAACTCAGGGTTGCTACAAATCTTTAATTTACAAAAAACACAGTATTTGCAAAGTACAATGACGCATAGTGCAATAAAACAAGGTATGCCTGTACAGCTTTCTTTTTTAAATAAATTCAACATGATTGCTTCCCTTGATTTTTTTATTGTAGTTTTTTATCTTTGTGCTTGTGAGTTAAAATTTTTATAAAGTTAATACATTCATCCTTAAAAAGAAATCAAATGTTACTATTAGTCTTATAAACAAAAAGATAATCTCTTACCTGCATCCTTCTTACATTTTATTCTAGCTCCCGTAAGGCAAAAACTTTTTTTTTTTTTTTTTTAAAAGACAGATTCTCAGGCTGGAGTGCAGTGGCATGATCAGGACTCACTGTAGCCTCTGCCTCCTGGGCTCAAGTGATCCTCCTACCTCAGTCCCCGTGTAGCTGGGACCACAGGTGTGCACTACCACGCCTGGCTAATTTTTGTATTTTTAGTAGAGATGGGGTTTCACCATGTTGCCCAGGCTGGTCTCGAACTCCTCAGCTTTAGTAATCAGCCTGCCTCAGCCTCCCAAAGTGCTAGGATTACAGATGTGAGCCACTGCACCTGGCCAGACTTCCAGTTCTTTTAATGTGTCTTTTTCACCTTACCTACATAACTCTAAATAATATACTTCTATTTCTTGATTTTTCAACTTTAGACATTATTGATTTGTTTCTGTGTTACATTTAGATTTAACTGTTTTACTCATCTCCCTCTCTCTCTGACCCTCCTAACATAATTATATCACAACTTTTAATTTTAGCTTTCTGATTGAATCTCTGTTGAATCAATATTAATATTATTATGACTATGTAAATACTCATTGCTAAGCTGTGGATTGTACTTATATCAGTCAGCTTTTGCTGTGGCACAAACGACCCCCATATTTCAGTTGCTTACAGCAACAAACATTTGTTTTTTGCTTATATCACTGTCTCATGAGGTGAGTGACACCATCTCATTTATATATTCTGATAATGCTCTTACTTGATTTATGTTTATCTGATATTTCAGAAGGGTTTTGGATCAGTTGAGACCGTCTGTATATTTTAGCTACTTTTATTATTAATAGTATGAGTGAAGGATGATGATAATATAACAGAAATAAATAAGTAAGCCACTTAACTTTTCAAAGTCACAGTTTTTTCACTGGAAGTATCTTGTGTGTACTATATGTTGCCTGTTAATATTTATCTTTCAAATGACACATAATACTTTATACAATGCGTGTGATAGTTTACAGAGTACTTTCACTTATTACTATATTATCTTTACAACAATTCTCTAAGGCAGATACTGTTCTTGTTTTACAGACAGGAACTGAAGTTCAGAGACCTACATTTACTTGCTCAAATCCGTATAACTGCTAAGTAGAAACCAGGTCTGGGAGAGTATTC